CAGCAACAGCAACAGCAACATCAACAACAACAACAACAACAACAACAACAACAACAACAGCAACAGCAACAGCAACAGCAACAGCAACAACAACAACAACAACAACACTTACACTTGCCAGAAGTTGGACGTCTGAGCCACACCGACAGAACAGCATGTTAACAATGCACTTGACCTACGGCTTCAGGAAATCTAACACATCTACGTAGAGGTGATGCCAACAAATGGATGGACTTAGGAGCTCAGGTTCCAAACTGTAGAGGTCAGCCGCTCGCGAATGCCAGGGCACCTCGCCGCAGCCATGACGGCCGCAGTCATGCCTGAGCTCTCGGCAGGACGACTTGCATAACTTTTTTGGGGAGAGACTGCACGACTTGCTCTCGTTGTCCTTGCCGCTTTTCCCTCAGACTGCACTGATGACGTTCGTCATCCAGGCCGCGACGATAACCTGAAAACTAAGTACCTTACTGTGAACATTCCAACATTGCACAATTGCATCCCAAAGAGAGATTTCGGCTTTCTCCAGTACATCCGGCGCGAGCAAACACCGATAAGAGAACCAGCTGCTGCTGAGCACACTCAACTAAGTGACGACCTCCTCAAACATGGCTGCCTAATCCCCAGACCAGTGGGCACAACTGAAAACTTGCCAGCCCTCAACAGAATCCAACTAATAGAAGTGCAATCTGTCATCAGAAAAGCAACTGAAGACAGTCAAAGCCCACTTGAAATCGTGAGTGGAAGCGTCTCGCCAAGAAATCTAGTCAGCTTGAAGTTTCAGATGGTGCGGCCATACTTGATGCAACCCACTGACCGAACAAGCGAGATTGCGCCACTGATCCCGATTGGCAGCACTAAACTGGCAATTATTAGTCAGAAAAAGCTGCAGCAGACCTTTCATCGATAAGAATGTAAATGCAATCCCTCCCTGGAAAAGCAAGGGCACTGCTTGTAACCCGTGCTGCGATCTTGCGTCCACAAGGCCACTGGAAGAAGGCACAGCTGCCCACAGTGCAGACGTCGTTCCCCAAAGTATCTGCAGTTCAGGGGAGGCAGGACCAGGCTGTGTGAGTGCTGCCCATCTGTCAACATGAACATGGTCATCTTGGAACATTGCCTACCGTGTCCCAAGCATTATATTCCAACACACGTACACCCGCCAGATCGTGAAATACTCAGATCAAAGTTCAAACATCATCTGCAATCGAGTGGCCCGTGCCACCAGGAGCAGCCAGCCAACGCTACAACGCCGACGGGCCATGCGCATCGAAGTGTGACCAGCGTTCCGACGAAGAGACGGATATCCGAACTCAAGTAGCTGAACTACAACCACGTGTAGCTGAAAGCATGCTAACTGTGGCTTGAAGAATTGCCAAATCTGCCACGCTCATGACAAAACACACAGCACAACTTCTCCTCTTTGGCTGGAAGCCCATCACGCAAGTAGCCACTGTCCAGGCAAGAGAAGACCTTTAGAGTGGAGTTGTCCAAGTAGCAAAGTGGTCAGCTGGTCTGCCACTTCATTAGCCTCGTGGCTCCTCGTCCTTTGCACGCGCTCCAAGCCAAGGTTCTTTGAGTTTCTTCCCTTAAAATCTCAGCCCCATAGCCTCAATCCACCTTGGAATGCCTTAGTCAACACCAGCCCCAAGAATCTCTTCATTCGGCGTCCTGGTCTCCCTGCCCAGAATGGTTGGCCTTGGAGTGGAACCTGCCAGACTACGCCACCAACAGTGCGACTGCCAGACCATGCCGTTTCCGAAGGAACCCCACAAATGCCTGTTGCGGAGTGTGGAGCACTTAGTGCCCCGAGGCTGGCATCGGAGACCGTGCTGTTCTGAGTTGGCAGGGTGCTGATATCAAAGCTGCACAAAGCGGAGGTACATCCAAGCTCATGCAAGGCTCGCTCCGAGCACGGACAACATGGAGTGGAAACCTGAGCCGATGTCTACTTCCCCTGCCTAGAAAGATGTTGGCCGCGCGGCTACAGCATTGCTACAGTCTGCACACTCTGCCAGCTGCTCTACCAACAGTTGGGCAAGGCACGGTTCGGAACTGGACTGCGCAGCAGATGGCGGCGCTTCCTTAGAGCTCATTCCTGTCTCCTCGAAGAGACCCTTGGTCTCCCTACATATGCGTTCCCCGTCTGCCTAGGCCTGCAATGAATCTGTTTTTCGGGAGCTGCCCAGCCCTTTGTTCCCGGCCCTGATTTGATGTGGACGAATAGACAGACTAGCGACACACCACCATTTACAGGAGGAGGTCGTTGTCGTAGGAGAAACATTTAGTCAGTCATGCCAGAAATTGTACCCGAGACATCATTCATAGGATACCATGCGTAAGAGCTGAGGCTGTAAGCTTTAAAATCATTTCCGCATGTGTGTTCGTCTTCCTTGCCTCTTCCTGTTGTTGGCGGTGGTCGTGGTCGCGGATACCTTGCGCACCTAAACCTGGCCCTGCTGTTTTGCCCCTGTGCAGAAGCATTTTAATTGCGGCACAAATTTGAACAAAATGTGAAGCCAAAAAAATGATTCAACATTTCCAGGTAGCCACCCAGGTAGCCACTGGCTCGGCCTGCAGCCCGCTGTCCAGATCTAACGGCTCGGGTGCTGGCTCTGGTTGTGGCAGAGGCCTCAGTTAAAGAGCCACGGAGGCTGGCATGGGCCCAGCCTCTGGGCTGTGGGCTTCGTGTCAAGCCCGCAGCACTTGCAGACAAACTATGCTTTCTTGCTGATTAGAGGCTTGGTTGGCGTGTTGCTGGCGGAGCTGCTGTGCGAACTCCGCTGAGAACGTTCATCCTCCTCTTGGACAACCTGGAGCGTGCTCGCCCGCCTGCAAGGTGCACAGCTCGAGACAGGCACCAACATTGGTCACCTCTTCACCGTCCAGAGTCCAGCATGGTCAGCAATGCTAATTCGGACTGAATCCTTTCATCAACTGTATGCTGCCTGCCAGGTCAGACAGAAGAACATTCCGGCTAAAACTTGCTTTCTGACACTGCCGGCAGGTCAAACAAGACACCGAACAACAACTGTTTCCCTCTGTAGTCGAGTATGATAAGCTTTGAACATAGACACTGCTGACGTGAACCACAAATCCACCTAGGCGAATGCTTCCGTGTGAGGGCGCGCAGGAGGATATCCTGGCTTTTCACCTGCCGTGACTCTGCCCTGGTTTCTCTGCACATTCGAATACCAAAACAGGTTTCAAGCGACATAAGCCCAGCGGCCAGAAGCGACAACTCCTTCACGTTTCTCTTCAGAGGAGAATGGACGTACCTCGGCATGTGAAGTACAACCCCGCACACAAGAACAAAGTTGTTGTTCCACAGCATGCAAAGACAGACCTGACAGGAGCACCAAACCCAGGGATACGAACATGAACACATGACCCGACCCGCTGATGGCAGGCAGAGACTTCAGAACCTGGGGTTGCAGCTTCAGGTGCGTTGGCTTCTACATCGTACCGCTTACCGGGAGCTTCACCTGCTGCTCACCCGGTAATTATGACCTGGCAAGAGCCTTTCCCCGCCACATGTTGATGCTCAGCTCCAGTGTCGATGGCCTTCAAGCCTTCAAACTGTCTGAACGAAGCTGACTATAGCCGAGAAGGAAAGAGACTTTCGCCGCCTTCCGCACTTACACTGAGTGCGCAACTCCGCTTTGATGTTGCTTCAATATGCTTAGCTGTCTCTGACATGTTCCATTCCATGCCTTCGATGTAGCAGAGACCCGGGCATGAACTAAGCTAAGGACCGATGCTCTGCACGAAGCTCAGCAATTTGATTCGCGGCAGTGCTCAACGCGTGGTAGAGCTTACCACCTTCCGCCTCAGAGGATGAGCAAGTCCCTGGCCCTGGCCAAGGCATGCGCAAGAGTCCAGGCCTTGAGAGCTCCAAGCCCGGAGAGCTCCGCAGCAGGATGAATGCGTAGACGCCTCCATGGGAACTGCTTCCAAAATGCCAAGTTGCTTGGACAGGGAGCAGTGAGGAGCGTGCAATTGAGCAAGTGCCCGAAGCGGACGGCAAGCAAATGCTGCAGCCACCGCAGCCTGATAAGCTCTTGGAAAACAGAAACCTGGACTCTGCTGACCACAACCTCCATCACGTAGCTGGCGTCGACTTCCAGAGCGCTTTGCCGCCAGCCCGTGGTGAGCGCCGTGATGTCTGCTTGCAGCTCCGCGACTTCCTCCACAAAGGCCCAACGTATTCTCTGCCCACAGTTGCCCGTATGTTGCTGCCAAACAAGAAACGTCAACAAGGTTCCATGGCTTTGATCCATTTGAGGTGTTTCCTGAGTCTAGGGTGTGTTAGGCAAGACGACTCGCTGCCCGAGCTGATCAGAATTGTTACACCAGAAAGCATGATCTTTGATATGGGCCTCCTAGAGCCTGCACACACCCACAAACCTTGGGAGCACAAGTTGCTCGAGAAAGTCAGCTCATGCGTCGCATGCTGCTTTTTGTTCCACGGCTTCTCTGCGCTGTATTTCGCAGAATCTTTGGAGAAGCCAGCGCGTGATCATCTCCTCCCCTGTGCCAAGGCCACCACGACATGAAGTGGCCGGTTCACACTTGAAATGACGACACGGTACCCATTTGCTTCCAAGACGCCCGAGATCCTCGCCCGCGACCCTCGCGTCCCTCGCGCGAAGCACCATGGAGGAAACACGCCGCTTGTCACATCAAAGCAAGAGCCCATCTTGGCCTTGCCACGTGACTGCGGCATAACCGGCATCTGCATTTGCGCCGGCGGGACGGGATCCTCATGAAGGTCTGACACTTGCTGAATTCCGGGCAGCTTGGAAAGTTCCTGTATCTGCTGCACAACTACCCTCTCCTTTCTGGGTGCAAGCACTTGCTCTCTGACCGGCTCCTGCGCAATGAAAGCTGTGCCCCAACGACAAGTTTTCCACAAACCTTGCAGCTTTGTCCTCTGGCGGAGGTAGCATTTCGGGCACTTGTGCCAAGATTGCGTCGAGGTCTGGCGTGAGCACCAGCCTTTCCAGTTGAGTGCTGTGTTGAGTATAACCTAGTTTGGCACGCGACGCTTCCCAAGCAAAGCGGTGCTTCACTCATACACAATCTGGAAGCTAATCAATGTCGTCCTGGTGTTTAGTCGCCCCAGGTTGAAGAATTCGCCCGCCAGTGGACACACCAGTGCCAGGTCCTTGCAGCAAACGAAGCCCCTTTCACCCACACCTTGCCCACCTCCACTCCTGCTGAAAGAAAGTCTCGCAGCCCTGATCGACGCAGAAGGAGATGCCACCTACCTCCATCCGCACTTTTCCGGACCTGTCATGCTGAGGCATTCCTGTCAAAGACATGCGCCCATCGCCACCTGCTACTTCTGAGCTGCTGACTTGTAGACGCGAAGCTTCCCCAGCTTGCCATCTGGAAGTCGCGTAATGGTGGCACCTGATAGCAATCGAACCGAGTATCGAGGCAAGCAACGTTAAGCTCTCAGCTCACCGTGCAACATCGTGCAACGCAAGAAGCACCTGCCCCGGCTGAAGCTGCATCCTCCCCCTCTCGAAAGAGCTCATCTTCCTTACATCACACTGCGCACGAAGCTGCGCACCAGCTACGTTGCAGGCGATGACAAGCTCACACGGGCCATGTGACTGGCTTGCTCATCTCCGGGAGCACACATGGCATCTGCAGCAAGAAGTAGCTGTCTTCCAGCAGCTCCTGACAAAGAGGCTCTGTCCATCAGCTCTTCCTGACAGCTCGGGGTGCCTTGTTGGGCCCAAGCAGCTTCTCCGCTGCCTTCGAGTTTGCTTCGTCAATATGTACAAGTTTTGGCCTCCGAGGCAGCATAGTTTTCAGGCAACCTCTGGAGCGGTTGTTATGGTGCCTTCTCTTCTTCTCCTCGGACGCGTCAGCAACGCCAGAGCCTTCCTCCTCCACATTGAAGTATGGCAAAGATATCCTGACTGCAATTGAGGCAGCTGAGGTGTTGCATGATCCCCCCATCCCTGCAAGGCTAAGCTTCGGAGTGTAACTGGGCATGTGCTGCCCATTCCAGGTCTGGACACCTCCAGAAAATGCCAAGTCCATGAGGTCCATGGACCTCAGAAAATACTTGATAGAAATTGCGTCTTTTTTCATTCAATTCCCGGCCTGCCCTCCTTTCTCTCCTTGGCCTTCCGTGGGGCTACGCCACTGCCCAGGCTAGAGGTCCTAGGCAAAATGCCAACTGTACTACCTGCTTTCACCATCATTGCCTCGCAGAACCAGCTCACTGAGCTCAAAAACGGATGTTCTACAGCGAGTAGAAAAAAGGCACTGAACGGGCTGTGCTGCCAAGAAGCAATCCAAAACTCTTCAGGGACATGCCAGAAAAGCGTTCCTTGGTGGGTCTTATTGCATCCTACCCTTGACTGTTCAGCCGTTGCGGCAGACTTGAAGCGTATCACGATTAAAGGCGCGGCGCAGTGCTGCATGCCGAGGTTCTGCGGTCTGTGGCGCATCCCGCGCACGGCCTGAAAGGGAAAGCCATCGCTTCTCCAAGGAGCTTGGCATCCAGCCTGATGCAAACTCCACGCTCTGTCGGCGCGCAGCTGCATGCAACAAGTTGCCGGCAGACTCCTGAAACTGACTCACGAAACATGAAAGTGTTCTATAATGCTGCAGCCTCAAAATATGCAGGGGTTGCACTCCTCCGGCCCAACCGAAGCCAAGCTTGACTTCTCAACCTGAGAAGACTTGCGAGCACCGTCACCTGTGCGGTCCCAAACTCGATCAAACTTCTGGGGTCAGCACGGCCCGCTGTGTTGTGGGCTTCTGTGGTCGGAAGGTTTTTGGCCGCTTCGGCTCCGGGGCAGCGCTGCCCCTGAAAGGCTTTCCGTTCACGGTGCCCTACACATCGACCGTGCGACTGCAAGCACTGCAACTTTCTTATCGCTCTGCATGTTCTTTGGGGCTAAGCTCGCCACCGGCCGTGGTTACGCGCAGCCAAAGAATGCTGAAATTTAGTCAAAAAGTCAAAAAGTTTTACTTTTCGCAAAAAGTAAAACTTTTTGACTTTTCGGTCAGTTTTCGCACTCTTCCACTTTTCAAGCAAAAACTCAAAAAGTAAAACTTTTCGCAGAAAGTTACACTTTTTCGACTTTTCGGTCAGTTCTCGCACTTTTCGACTTTTCGGGCAAAAAATCATAAAGTAAAACTTTTCGCAAAAAAAAAAAGTTGCACTTTTCGACTTGTTGGGCAAAAGTTCGCAAAAGTTTTACTTTTCGCAAAAAGTTGCACTTTTCGATTTTTCGAGAAAATTGTCAAAAAGTTAACTTTTCGACTTGTTGGGCACTTTCTGCAATTTTATTGTTTTTTGCAATTGTAATTCTACTTTTCGACAATTTTACGGTCACTTTTCGCACACAGTTGCACTTTTCGACTTTTCGGAGAATTTTCGCAAAAAGTTCAGTTTGCGCGCAAAAGTACGCCATACGGTCAAAGTCATCTACTTCTACGTATATGTTCACTCCTGCTGCAAGTACTACTCTGGTTTAATTTCTTGACTGCTACTGCTACTGCTGCTGCTGCTACTACTACTACTATTACTACTACTATTACTACCGGACCGATACTACTATTACTACTATTACTACTATTACTACTATTACTACTATTACTATTACTATTACTATTACTATTACTATGACTAGTACTATTACTAGTACTATTACTACTACTACTACTACTACCACCACCACGACTACTACTACTACTACTACTACTAGTCGCCCCCCCCCCCTTACCAACTATGTTTGCTT